CTGGGTGGCTCAGTCGTTAAGCGTCTGCCTTCGGCTCAGGTCATGGTCCCAGGGTCCTGGGATCGAGTCCCACATCGGGCTCCCTGCTCCGTGGACAGCCTGCATCTCCCTCTCCTGCTCCCCCTGCTTGTGTTCCCTCTCTCGCTGTGTCCCTCTCTGTCAAATAAAATCTTTAAAAAAAAAAAAAAAAAAAAAGGAAAACAGGGTTTATCTGGGGTGGGGGGCAGCCCGTATCTAACACTATTCTCTAAGGGTTCTCAACTTAGGGACACTCGGGGATTTAAGTGCCAGTAGGCTGGCTCTGGGCAGGGGCTGGAAGGGTTCGTAGGCAACCAGAATGAGGGTTCTAGTACTCACCAGAAGCCCAAGGTACAACTGTGAGAACAACTTTTAGAAAGAGTCTGAGACCTGAAATGACCAGCAGAGGAGAGTTCGGCTCTGCAGTTCTCACCCCGCCCAGGCACATCAGGAAACGGGCTGGAAGGGAGGTTCTGGGGCTGCTACTGGCAATCGGGGCAGGGCCAGGGATCCTAGGTGTCTAGTAAAAAACTGTCCTGCCCTCAAATACCAGTGGCACCCCTGGCCATCTGTCTGCAACAGAGCAAGGCTGGAAGGGGACTCGTCTTCCCCTTGGCTACCTTCCTAGGGGGTACTGATGGCTTGCCAAGAAGCCTGAGCAACAGCTATCCAGACCCAAAAGCTACAAGAGGCTCTGGAGAGACCAGAGAGCCAGCTGCTGGCCTAGACTCCCCCCACCCCTTTTCTGCCAAAACAGGTGAGCTGCTGCTAGTTTATGGTTAGGACATCACTCTGGATCTCGTGGCTTAACTGGGTCTGTAAATCACTCAGCTTCTTCTTCAATCCAGAGAGGGCTGAGAGGACAATTGTTTCAGGACGCAGAGAGCCACAAGACTCCACGTTGTAGTAAAACCTAAGAGGAAGAGTCGGGTGAGAGCCCTCCACGAGGCAGGCTCACTAGTCTGAGCTTCAGCCCTGGATCATGCGCTCTCCCTTCTGGGTCCTGACTCCCTTCCCACCTGGAACTCAGCTAACAGCGGTCCTGCTGCACATTACAGGACTTCAAGGCCACAGCCACCTCAAAAAGCTTCATGTTCACCATCAGAAGACTGGTCCGTTTCTGGCTCTGGCCTGGTCCCCTTCCCTGGGGTTGAATATCAAGAGTAGGAGCAGAGTGGCTAACCGGAGGGCTCCTCTGTGGCCCAATAACTAGGGGAGCATAATCTGCCCTGGGACATGCACGTGGCACGGGCTCAACTGTTCTCCATCCTTCCTGAGCTCACGGGCACCGGGACAAGAGGGAAGGGTCTCCCCAACTCAGAGCCTGCACCAAAACCCTATGTTCTTCCACGCTTCACCTTCAGGTGCCGGATGAGGGTCTCACCTCTCTGGCTTGCCGTTGGGGTCGTAGGGAGCTTGGGACTCATCTTCATCCAGCTCAGAGTACTCGCTCTTTGGCCTGAGGTCAAATACAGGTCAGCACAGGCAGCTACTGCTGCTGTCCACAGGGAGCCTACCCCCACCCCGCTCCCTCAGAGCCCTGTCCACATCAACCCACCCTAAAGGCCTGCCTTTACTCCGACAAGAACGTACCATTCCTCGGGCTTGGGGTACACTGTGTGCCTCAGGGCATTGTCAGGATCATATTCAAAAGCCACTCCTGCAGTAGGGTTCCACTTGGCATGCTCCTTGCCAAAGCCCTTTTTGGCATAGGCTCGAAGTCTTAGCTCCTGGCCTTTCCTCAGCTTGACGATGAGGATGTCTGCAGGGAGAGGTTTAAGGCCGTCAAGGGGCGGTAGAGACACGGACCCCTGAATTTTGACCTGGAAGGCCCCTGGAGGCCCACACAATCTGGACAAACAGTTCAAAGGTCAGCTGACAAGGAGAGCAGGCGGCACGAGAGGCTGTGCTGGGTCTTGGCCTCCGTGCTGGCCTGCAAAATGACAGGGCGGGTACACATGCGCACACGTTCTCCAGCCCCTTACCGTCCTGTTCCACGTAGTCATTGGGGTCATTATCTCGGTTCCGGGAGGTCACCTGCAGGGAGCCCAAACAGAGGCATGTATGAGCTGTTGGTCTCCCCAGTCACCTCTTCCAGCAACTATGTTCCAGCACCTGCCAAACCTGGGAATGAGGGGAGAGACGTGCCTCCTAGAACCTCATGGGGACCACCTTCTCAGTCAAAACAGTACCATGGCCTTTAAAAGGGTCCTTGGGTGGCAGAGGACGGGCACACAGCACCGACCGTGTTCCTGTCCACCCTGGCTACTGTCCAGGATTATTAGCACTTTTTAGGCACCAGACAGACGAAGGCAGAGGGTAACGCAAGGAATATCCGCATCTTGTAACAAACCACCTGAGTCTGGCCCACTTTGAGAGAAAAGGAGGAAGACGTGGTGAGACACTGACTGGAATGACCCGGGGGCTGTTGGAGATGAGGTCTCGAGACGTGACGTGTCGAGTTTGGTCTTCATTACAGCGCACGTCAAGGGTGAACTCCACCGAGCACTCGGGGCAGAACTCCTCACACGTGCAGTCCTGATGGAGGAAGAGAAGCAAGAATGAGTCCACGGAGAGATGGCAAATGCTGAGCTCCCTGTTTCTCATACCCTGTTCCTTCCATTTTTCCAGCTGTAAAACAGCCGGCCACAGGCTCTAGGCACTGGGGGGCCGTGTCCATCTGGTACACCGTTCTCACGGGCTGCCCACTGCACGCACTTCCCAGTTTAGAGACAACCTATACCCACTGGCCTCCATGTTTTCCTTCCACCTCCACCAGCTGCCAGACCACACTCCAGGGATACGCTGTGCTAACGTCCCACCTTGGCCCTCGGGGTGCTCTTCTGCCAAGAACCAAGGCGTTAAGTAAGAGAATGATGCTTTCACGCTTTATAGGGCAGCTTCCCCTGAACTAAGTGGACTAGCTTGGGAAGGTCACCATCGTTTAAAATAAAATGATCCAGGGCACAATACAAAAAAGTACCTTTCAAGTTCTAGACTACTTACCTTTTCTTAAAAACAAAATCTTTCCATTATGGAAAATTTCATATTATTCACAAGAGTAGAGCAAGTATAAGAGGCTGCTACCATGTAACCATCACTCGGCTTCAATAATCATCAATAGTTCTTTAAGCAACTATTGCTGGAAACAACCCATGCCTCTGTTAGGGACCATCTGCTACAGTGTAACTTCAGGCAAGAAGAGTTACTGGAATGTAACCAAGCAAACTGTTCTCCCCCTCACACCAGCAGGAAAATCTAACCTGCTTCTGATGTTTTTGAGATGATGAGGAAGAACAAGGGGCCACACCTGGATAGTCTGCAGTCATACACAGGTGAGGCAGGAAGGTAACCTAGAGCTTTAGCAGAAATATGAAATGGAAGGGGGCGCCTGGCTGGCTCAGTCCGTGAAACACGCGACTCTTGATTTTGGGGTCGTAAGTTCGAGATCCACATCGGGTGTAAAAATAACTTAAAAAAACCTAAAAACCCAAAATAAAAAAGCAAGACACATCAATATGCTGTCTGCAAAAGACTCATTTTAGACCCAAAGAAACCTCCAGATTTAAAGTGAGGGGGTGGAAAACCATTTATCATGCTAACGGACATCAGAAGAAAGCTGGGCATATCAGACAAATTAGATTTATTATTATTATTTTTAAGATTTATTTGAGAGAGAGAGAGCGAGAGACAGCAGGAGCTGGGAGGACAGGGAGAGGCAGGCTCCCTGCTGAGCAGGAAGCCCGATGTGGGGCTCGATCCCAGCCTGGGATCATGACCTGAGCTGAAGGCAGATATTTAACTGACTGAGCCACCCAGGTGCCCCCAAATTAGATTTTATTTATTTTTAAGATTTTATTTATTTGACAGAGAGAGACACAGCAAGAGATGGAACATAAGCAGGGGGAGTGAGAGAGGGAGAAGCAGGCTTCCCGTGGAGCAGGGAGCCCGATGTGGGGCTCAATCCCAGGACCCTGGGATCATCACCTAAGCTGAAGGCAGATGCTTAACAACTGAGCCATCCAGGCGCCCCCTCAAATTAGACTTTAAACCAAAGACTCTAATAAGAGATGAGGAAGGACACTGTAGCACACTTAAAGGGTCTATCCAACAAGAAGATCTAACAATTATAAATATTTATGCCAACATGGGAGCAGCCAATTATATAAGCCAAGTAATAACAAAATCAAAGAAACACATCGACAATAATACAATAATAGTAGGAGACTTTAACACCCCCCACCGAAATGGACAGATCACCTAAGCAAAAGATCAACAAGGAAATAAGGGCTTTAAATGACACACTGGACCAGATGGACTTCACAGATATACTCAGAACATTCCATCCCAAAGCAACAGAATACACATTCTTCTCTAGTGCACATGGAACATTCTCCAGAATAGATCACATTCTGGGTCACAAATCAGGTGTCAACCGGTACCAAAAGATTGGGATCATTCCCTGCAAATTTTCAGACCACAACGCTATGAAACTGGAACTCAATCACGAGAGGGAAGTTGGAAAGAACTCAAATACATGGAGGCTAAAGAGCATCCTACTAAAGAATGAATGGATCAACCAGGAAATTAAAGAAGAATTAAAAAAATTCATGGAAACGGGGCACCTGGGTGGCTCAGATGGTTAAATGTCTGCCTTCGGCTCGGGTCATGATCCTAGGGTCCTGGGATCAAGCCCTGTGTCGGGCTCCCTGCTTGGCGGGGAGCCTGCTTCTCCCTCCCTCCACTGCATGTGCTCTCTTGCTCTGTCAAATAAAATCTTTAAAAAAAAAAATTCATGGAAACAAATGAAAACAGAACTGTTCAAAAGGTGGTCTTAAGAGGAAAGTATATAGCAATACAAGCCTTTCTCAAGAAACAAGAAAGTTCTCAAATACACAACCTAACCTTACACCTAAAAGAGCAGGAAAAAGGACAACAAATAAAGCCTAAACCCAGCAGAAGAGAAATGATAAAGATTAGAGCAGAAATTAATGAAAGAGAAACCAAAAGAACAGTAGAAGAGATCAACGAGACTAGGAGCTGGTTCTTTCAAAGAATAAGACTGGTAAACCCGTGGCCAGACTTATCAAAAAGAGAAAGGACTCAAATAAAATCATGAATGAAAGAGGAGAGATCACAACCAACACCAAATACAATTATAAGACATATTATGAGCAACTATATGCCAACAAATTAGA